CACTTGCCAGAATGTTGTGGTGACAGATGCACACAATAGATGCTTTACTAAACATGTCCTTGATATCGGCATAATCTCCTTTAATATATATCATTAACTTGGGCCAGTCCCATGTTATTGCTTCCCCAACATTGCTAGCACATCATGATCTGGAAGGAGCTATTTATTGCTCCAAGAGTGTGACTCTTGCCCAACCAGTCAGGCCCCAAAATTTTACTTACTCATTCATTTTACCTTCTCTTCCCTCTAGTACCTAACACAAAAAGGACTAAAATGGGAACTTGCAGCTACCATCTTGCAATATAACATCCCTCCCAAACACTTCTCCACATGGATAAAATCTGCAAATCTTCATTTATGCAAATATTATTGTGGCCATTGATGAAAACCCTCCTCTAATTAAAATTTTCAAGTGCAAAATATAGTCAGCCATTCATGCTGGTGAGGTGCATAGGGATTGAATCCTCTGAAGGGAACCTCAGAAGAGTTTCAGAATTGTAAAGGGGGCAACTTCCTCTGTTATCTGGTAAAAATTTGCACTCAGGACACATGATAGCAACAAATTGTATTGGCAAGAATGTGGAGAAGCCAGTAGTAACAGACATATGCTGAAGAAACAGCATGCTGAAGTAATGGGTAAGGCCAGATTCTTGGCCTGAGTAACCCCGCCCGAAGTAGAGCTCAGGGAGTCACAGCTATTTCTCCCATCCCAGGCGTACTGAGTGCCCTGGCAACACAGACCCTAAATAGCTTCAGATGGTGCAGCCTGCAGTGAGGAAATGCTTGGATGTCTATCTAGGGTCCATATCTCACAAGGGAAAACAAACCTGGCTAAAGTCTCACTTGCTGTGACGCAGCAAGAGTTTGTGGTCTCTCAAAGCCAGCTGAAATGGTCTGGCTCCCAAGCCACAAAGCTGCCCTGATAACCTACTGCTGTGCAGTGCTCACCAGCGCATCATCATGATGGCCATGAAGGCAAACCTGGGGCTGAACTCCTCAAAAAGGCAGCATAGCCTGCTCCACTGCACCACTCTGAGCAACCCTCCTGCAGAGGGTACCACACATCACTGTACCTCAACAACCGCTCCTTCACACTCCCAGGAATGGGATGCATTTCACATTACCAAAATAGCTTTTTTCTGTCTCTCAATACCTCTATGTTTCTCCCCTCATATTTTGTTGTTTTTTTTTTAATTCATTTTGTCTTTGTGAAAACTGCTGTCAACTTACTAGAGGTCGATACAAACAGCTCCTTTTTTCTCTGCTTTCTCACCACGGCCAGCAATAGCAATCCTGCGGGAACAATGGTAAACACCTTACCCTATCTGGCATTTTTGCCCAGCATGGTACCAATGTTCCCAGTTTTTTGTCTTGAATAAATAGCTTCACGAGGCTCTTTTCTTACTTCCTTTTGGATAAATCCACACATATTTGACATTTTCTGTATACTCCTTAAGATTGGCTGTCTCAGGAATCACTACAGATCCATACTTTGTCCTCACTAGCAGTACCTGAAGGCTGTGGTGACAGCTGCACGGGGTATAGTATCTAGCTTGTTGCATTTGTAAGACACTTCTCAGATACTAAAGATTTAATCCTCACACCATGCCAACAGACAATTCTGCTTTAGGCTCCAGAGAACGTCTAGAATCATCCAAATGAGAGCTGACAGTAGACTTCTAAAATATGAGCATTATTGATCTGAACTACATAGATACTTATAGAGGCTCTACAAGCACTTCCCAAAATGCACAGTTCAAACCAGTGCAACCTTCAAAGACTGCTCTGGGACCAATTTAATTTTTGATTGTTCTTAAGTCCTGAGTAGAAGCCTAGAAGTTTTGCTCCTAGGACCTTAAAATTGGTACAGACTGTAGGCATGCTTGTTCTGCAGAAACAGAAGCTGGGACACACAGGCTGTGTCCTTGCAGAGGGAAGCAGTCACATCCTGCCCCTTCCTTTTTGTTTGCAAATGCCACAACAGCCTGTGCTGCTCCCCAGACAGTCCTGAGTGAAGGTAATTCATCTTGCAAGGAAAGGCCAGCAGGTTCACTGACCTAACTAATGGGCATGCTACAGGAACCCTAGAATATGTACAGACAACGGCTTTTTTAGTTCTGAATAAACGCACGTACCCCTGTTTGGGATTTCCTCCCCATTGTACTCTTCTGCCAAATCCAATGCATTACCCCTTGCCCGCCTTCGCAGCACTTGAAGTCCATATAGCATATATGACTATAGCAGTCCACTGCAAGTCTGATTTGTTTCCCCAGCAATCTCTGCTAAAATCATGTGAGAACTTACACAAATATAAAATGGAGACATTCAGGAGCAATTTTCTCCTTTGCTTTGAACAATGCTACTGGCAGTTGTGATAGAAACAAAGATACCAGGTTCACTGGCCAGCCAAAACACGCCAGGAGGAGAAAAAGTGTAACCCACCCTGAGTTCCACTGATATCTATATTTTTTTTAATCTTCAGCTGTTAGTAAGATTTCAGTACCAGCCTGAAAATATTCAGGATCTGATTTAAATTAATTATGGAGATGAACATTACTGAAAACAAGCTCAGCAGGAGCCTGTTGCTCTTTAGATTTTGGGTTTTTTTGATAAGCCACTGCTATTGTGAAATTTATCCAAATGCTCACAAAACTCTGGCAATCTGAAACTAGATCCTTTTGCTCAAGCCCCGAAACACAGAACCTTGTGCCAGATGACTATTTCTTGCATGTGTAAAATTCACTTCAATCAGTTGACAGAAGGTTTGGGGTTTTCCAAATATTGTGAACCTGGTTGAGATTATTGAAACCCTCAGCTATAAGAGTGTTGGGTTACTGTTCTTTTAAAGCACGCTTCCCCTGACAACAAAGTGTAATTAAAGAGGCCACCACTGTCATGTTACAGTCTCTTTTTAGAAGGTCTGGAAGAATGTAAAAAGGGCACAGCAAAAGTTGCTTAACCTTCTTAGAAATAAATGTCCCTAACATTTTTACATCTTCTTTTTGGTCCATATTGGTCACAATAATGAAACAATTTAAAGGAGAAAAGGTCACAGTAAAGCTATGAACTCTATATGCTCTTCAGTGCAATAAAAGTTTCTTTACATATTAGCATGGGAAAGGCATGCCTAGCAATACAAGAGAAGAGGATGGATTTCAGATTCTCCGTAGGCTGTTCAGAGAAGAAAGGGTTTGGGCATCTGTGTGAATCAAACACCAAAAGAAAAATGAAAAACTTGCAAATTTTCCATCTTATCTATTTTCAGCAAAAGGAAGAAAAACTTGGTTCAACCCTCCATCCTATATTCAACACACATGCAGTATCTTGGTAAATCCAGCTAGCTCACTTCCAGTGCATATGCTGTACTGAGGAGGGGTTCAAAAATTGGCATGGTTATATTGTCTCTAATTTGTGCCAGCAACTACAGGCAAAAAAAAAAAAAAAAAGATAAATTTTGGGTCAGGAAGATTATTTCAGGCTCTATATAAGGCAAAATAAAAATTACCTATTTATCATATGTATTTGCTAGTTTGCTTTTATGGAGCTAAGGTATCCAGGAAAATTCTTAAATCACCTCCAAGTTGTTCAGAAGGCATCATTTCCTAGAAAGTTCACCTTTTCCTCCTTGTTCTCATGCTGCCAACACAAACGCATCTCCTAATAACGCAAATGTCAAAACTTTCATATCTTTTTTTCTTTTAAAGCCAAATATTATGCAGAAATTAATAAAAAAAAGAAACTAAAGACCGTACATATCTTAGGGTTTGTTGTTGTGGCTTGGGTTTGGTTTTTTTTTCCTATTTTTCTTTTAAAAATGGCTGGAGTTATCCTCCTAAGGCACTAATTTTTGGTCCCTAATTTTACAAGCTGCACTGGGGTTGAGAATGATTCTAGTTTTTATATATGATTTCCCAGAGTATGTTTTCCTCAAAATCTGTACATAAATCCTTTTTAAAGCTTACTCTGATTTTCACCATATCGGAGGGTCACTTTTTCATGTGTTTCTGGCCCGTGTCACCTGATTTCATTTTTCCCCAAGTATGATATTCTACAAAAATTTGTAAAGAATATTTTCATTAGGTCTCACAAATCAACTGACTCTAAAAACTGCACCAATTTAGTCAAGAAAGAAATATATTGTACTGGTCACAAAACAAAACCACTCCAAACTAAGCCCTGAATATTCAAAACCTCCATGTGTAAACTGTAATCAAGAAGAATCCATCATAATATTTTGAAAAACAAGAACTTGAAAAAGTTGTACCTGTTTGTGAAGAATTCATGAGCACAGAACGAAGCACAATTCACAGAATGAACTATTCTTTGTGAATTATTGGCCTAGTATTATCCTCATAACCAATGAGACATGTGATTTACATTTGGCTTACAGGCAATAGTAAGCTAATTGATGCCCTGGTGTGATATGGAATGAAGCACAGTCATATAAATAAATTGTTTCCTAAATTCTTCACAAAAACACATTAATATCTTAGACACCATGCAATTGTATGCAGTGAACACTGCTAAGACAGTAATCGTGTCATCAAGAGTTAATTTATTCTCAGCAAGTCCATGTAATGCAGATATTAATCTCCTGGAGCACACACTGCTGTTCGGGGTTAAAACATTCACAGTTTCTGAAACATAAACAAGTCTCACATACACAGCTGTTCTCAAGTAGCCAAACCAAGCTGGTGCTCGATGACAATTTGTCACTTAGCTGCCTTTTTAGACGAATTAGTAAAGAAATTCAGAATACAAAGGCAGGGTGAGCTTCTTCACATTTTCAGAGATGTTTTCTTCTACCTATAGGTTACAGCTACTAAGTTACAGATGCATATGAGCGCTTAAAGAGCAAGCAATACAACTCTTGGCAACTGGCAAGACTCAGAAGAAACAATTTTTGAGAAGACAGTTTGAACATCAACATGACTTTAAAACCCCAAGATCACTTCCTAAATCCATCTTGCTATTACCTTAGTTTGCCACCTTTTAATTAAAAACTGAAGGAATACACACACCAGAGCAAAGAAAATGATTACTCAGTCTGTGGGAAAAGCAAGCCAGCAACAGAAGACATAGATAGCCACCACTCAAGTAACACCAGAATGACCCTTACCACATCCAGTGCACAACAAGAACAGAAGTAGCCTCTGAACAGGTGGATACCACCTACACCACATATCTTTAAGCCTTCAAAATAAGGCCAGAGTTAGCCCACCTGCCCTGGTTTTCATGCAGCTGTGTGCAGGGCAGGAGGAGCCCTGGACCTGGCCCTTCATTCTTCATGCTGCTGCCCCTGGGGAAAGCTGTAAATGAGAAGATTTGATACACTTCCCTGAGGTGGGTTTTTTCCCCTTCTTTCTTTACTTCTTTTTTTCCAGTTGGCTGCCTTTAATATGGGCTCAGAACAACCTTTTTATAATATCTTCATCAACCATTTGAAAGCTCTGGGTCAGAAGCTCTGAGATTTGAAGGTAAAACTGTGCTAATCGGTTGAATGGCCCTTTTGACCATAGTCAATTTCTACTAATTAGAAAAAAAGAATAATTAGCTAATGTTGGAGAAGAGATTTGGAGATGAATAAGCTGTGGGGAAAGCGCTAGGCATCATTAATGGGAAAAAAAGTTTGATCCTTTCTAAAATTTGTATTTAAGTAGCTCAAAGTGATTATAAATGGACCAAATGTAATGGCTAACCACCATAAGATTAACACAATGTCCTTTGGGAAATTACAGTTTATATTATACAATTAAATATTATACAACCTCTTTATTTTAAGGACTCCTCCTTGGAATTTTCTATTTAGTTCCGGTCAGAATGCTTTTTATATGTCATTTAATCCTTCCTCTTACCCAACTAATTTGTACGGGTAAATTATAATTACTATATAATAATAATGGCAATGGTTAGAAAAGCAAATGTAAGTCTGCAGCTGAAAAATATTGTGTTATAAAACAGTCCAGTACAAATGACTCTAGCACCTTGTTTTCCATTCACCGGGTGGATATCTACTCATAACTCTTTTCAGAACAACATTGAAAAGACCTCACAAAGTGGATATGACAGGCCACATCCTGAGCTGGTTACATCAGCAGAGCCCCATTCTTTAATGCAGTCTAAAGCAACAGTTACCTCCTTGGAAACGGCATGAAAATGGCAAAGCAAAAGATGAAGTTTTCCTTTCTTCTTGCTGAATTCTGGCAGTATTTGATATGAAAATTTATATGTCTCTTTCCTTTGCAAAAAAAAAGCATAATACACACTATCCAGGACTGAAACATTGCTGGGGCCCCAAGTGACTCTGGACAGAAATAGTCCCTTCATTTCCAGCTCCTGTAAAAAATGACCATCTTTCGTGTTACCCCTAGTACAGAGACTGTTCCCATTTGGGTGTGCTTCCAGGTACTTTATCTCCAACAGCATGACTAGAATTCCAGTATGAGTAACACAATGTACTTCTCCTGCAGGAAGGACTATACTTTGGCTTACCAAACCAGCCACTCCTCAGAGTCACCTCCGTAGCATGAGCTACATGTTTGCACGCATTAGTGTATGTTGCGTTTCTCCCCTCCCTTTTAAAACTGCCACTCAGAAATAATTTAGCTCCTGTTAGCTGGTATGATAAATGGAAGATATATTTGGCAACCTTCATACCTGGTTTTCTTCTTAGCCAGTCCTTTTGCTCGTAAAACTGAAAATGAAATTACTACCCCACTGTCATTACTATTCCATCGCCAAAACCATCTGAATAGTTTATATATGTGGTAGAGAAAAGAGTAAATTCAGCTTTGGATTTCTATGTTGATTCCTTCCCTGCTTTGTAGACAGATGATGCAAAGTCATCTGGTTTGATAACATGCCATTTTGTGCAGGAGTAATCTAAACAAGGTGCTATAACACGAAGAATCAAGGCTTAAGCATCTTTTGGCATCTCAAACTCAAATAAAAGTAAGAGGAATGTAACTTCTTTCTGAGATGGACATGCTGGATTCATCTGCTGCCCTGTGTGGGCTTCAGAAACATAAAACAAGTCTCTGCCTAATGCATGTGGCAATAAAAACTAATTGTATTCTTTGCAAGAAAAAAGAGCTATCCAGTGTACTTGGCTGCTCTGTGATCTACTGTCCATTGGACTACTGAACTGTCTTAAATATGCCTTCTTGAAGTGGGAAAAATAATATGAATTCATATCCATATGTGTATGAATATCTGTGTGAATGTACGTATTTTATATTAATACTTTTCTGTGTTTAAAAGAGGAACAAGTTGTATGTAAGTTCACGAAAAAAATATTTTCAGCCAAAATCTGCCCCAAGCCTTAAACAGATGATTATAACTTCAGAGGAGGTTAACAGTCTGTCAGACAAAACAATTCATATCACTGGGGACTAGCATTAAGAACCTGTTGTTCTCACAAACCCAAAGTTTAGTTTCAAGGAACTGCAACCATGACAAATCATGAGTTTGTGGATGTCAGTACACTGGGGATGGGTCATTCTCATGTACTACTGATCCTTAGGGTAAGGGAAGTCCAGAGGGAAGGTACGTGAGTGACATTTTAGCTTTCCTGTCAAAACAGAGGACAGCATGCAGCTGTGTGGATGGAGCCCTGCTGGGGCTTCCTTAGCAGTTCTGCTGTCCATCCCCCCAACTTCTGGTGGGGGTCTGGACACTGAACTTACCCAAAGCAGCAAGATGGAAATATTGCAATAAGAAAACATCAGGCAAAAGCCACTTATTTTCCCAGATAATCAAGGTTTTCTCCTTTTTCCCCATTTATTCTTATCCTGCTCTGTGGTAATAGCTAGAAAACGACATGTATGTAGCTACCTAACATAAAAATAGCAACAGAAGAGACTGATACGCCAATACTCCAGTCTACCAGGAACAAGCTGTTTCTCAGAAGTAGGAAAAAGGTCTACAAAGCAGACAAAGCATATGAACTAACTAGCACCAGTGTTTCCAAGCCCACTGAAAGCAAAGGAAGATCCAAGAAAACACTGATATTTATATATATGGGGCTTTCTATCAGATCTTGCAGTGTGACAGCACCACATGTCAGTATCAGCACAGGTCCTACTGGCAACACCTTGAAAACTGTGTGGAGGTATAGAAAATAAACTCACTAGCTGTGATTTCCATGATAAAATACGAATGTGAGGAAAGCCTCTTGGGATCCATAATATAGAATTGTCATGGGATACAGATTGTCTGGCTTTCTGATAAAAGATGTCAGTTCCTTTTCTGGGTTTTAAATAGGAAGAAGCACTTGTGATTATTAGGCTGACTGTATAACATGAGGTCTGCTGACAGAATCACTACACAGTGAATGTGTCTGCTTCACCCATCAATGTTCCCAACATTTCTGTATCGAAAAACAGTGCAGCCGTGTATCAGCCATAGAAAACCTAATTCCCTGACTCCAGATCTCCTAGTTTTCCCTACTATACAGACTAAAATTTCCTGGTATCTACAGAGATCAAAAAGCTTCTACCAGGTTATCCCACATTAGGCATTCACGATTTTAACAAACAGCAGATTAATTAAGCTTGGGCAAGATCAAGTTGTTGTTGCCATTTTGCAGAGCTGGAAGCTCACACTGTGAGGTGCATAAAGTTTTCTCAGGGAGGGATGTGCACCCTGGGCTAGCACAGACTCACAGCCTTTGTGGGAAGTACTGCCCAGCCTTCAGAAAGGGAGCCCAAGCTGCGTTATACTGCCTTTAAAGTCAATTAAGAAGAGATGCATCCTGCACTGAGAATTGTTATACTCAAGTACATTTAATACTCCAAAGAAGGCTAAAGATTGAAATATTGACCCTTCTGCTGCCAGCATCAGCTCCGCTACCAACCAGTGAGTGGAAAAGTAAACTCTAAACAAAATAGCTCAACACTAATTTTAAAGCATAAGGCTGAAAAATGTTTTTCCCAGTGCCAGTAATAAAGCAAACCCCAAATGAGCTTTCTGAAAACAAACCTCTGGTCTGAATAAGCAGCATCTCTCATTTTGCACACCACAGCCTGGCTGGTGAAGACTCCCCTGGTTTGCAGAGCAAACACCAAGACCAGCACCTTTTGTGAATCCCTACTAAAGGCAACTGCTGTAACCATACTGTGTCTGGAGACATCACTCCAAAGCTTGAAATGGCTGTTCTTGGAGCACAGTGTTGGGAGTGAATAGATCTGTCATATCTGAAGGACATTGCATTCCTAATGTCAGATATCCTGCAAAAATGAAGCAGAGGGACAGCAAACACTCTTTTCTTGACTGATGTTTGCCCAACTGAAATTGCACGGCTTTCAGCCGCTCCACTCCTCAGATTTCCTAATGCCCTCAACCCAGTATAAACTAGGTTGCTTTCCAATTTCTTACACAAAAGCAACACGTTGACTCAGTGAGTCATCCATTTCTGTACTGACTTCAGGTGTACATCGCTACCACAGCAACATGACTGATTTCCCTCCTGCACTATTTACAGTTCAGATCAGTAGTACTGCACCTGTGTTTCCAAAAGAAAAAGAGCTTTTGTCCCTCAGCATTACAACTGTAAGCCTGAAAGCATGAATTCTTCCAAAACACCATTTCCACCCACACTGCTGTTTGTGACCCAGATTTGCTTCACTACAGAGTGTGGGAGAAGTGCCTCAGCCCTGCCTGTTCACCTTAATGCTCCTCCTGTGGTTGTTTCTGCTGCCCACAAGACCAACACATCATCTACTAATGGTAACACAGACACCCATGAAGTCCATACTTACTCTGACATACAGATGCCATTCAGACTGCCACACGGTGACACAATCGTCCAAAAATTCTTTCTCATTCTCTTTATGACTTGAATGGTCATCCAGAAAAAGAAAAAGCACCAGTTCGTAACAACCACTTGTCTTCTACTGCACACCACCAGTAAGAAGACGGAGGAAACTCAAGCACAGTAGGAGACTCGCTGACACTGAATAATAAAATCCCTACAGTTTGTGCCCACTGCAAGGGCAAAAAGCAGAGTTAGAGCTTGTGAAAACATATTTCCTGTAAAGCTGTCAATGTTAACATCACTGACAGCTTCAGCTTATTAGCAACTCAAATGCTGTTCATGAAAATCAGAGCTATGTGCTGTTTAAAAGAATATTCCTGCAATCATGAATCGATATTTGTATGTCTTAACCTGTGTCCTTCTCTCTCTTCTGCACATCTCCACCCATTTTTGAACTTTTCTCTCACCCCTTCCCTATAGCATACCGGCTAAATGCCCAGCATGTAATCTATGGTGATAAGCAAGTAATTTTACTAATTAATCCAGGAAGCTGGGTATTGCAATATTTTTTTGGCAATTTCTTTTATCAGGAGCCTGGCCTTCAGCTGATTTTTTGCATGTATGTAATGTTAGTGGAATATAGGGAAATACAGTGAAGGGGCAGGTCAGCTTCATTGGAGAGTGGGTGGTTGTTGCAAGCAGCTCCCAACAGCCAGATCCAAAACACTGAAATTCAAAGGAACACTCTTTTTTTCACTGACTTGAGTGGGCTTTGGTTTAAGTCTTTAAGCTTTACAAACCCTGCCATGTTATAGAACTCAGGGTTACAGAATGAGAGTGAATGAACTACTGATGTCCACTCCCACTTTAATATTTGTCTTAGTCTGATAAAAACATCATGTCACAGGATTCCTTATTCTGTTTTTCTCTTCTTTTTTTGAAAATATATTTTGATTATGCCAAAAGGGTAAATGACCACTTTAACTGACTTGAACCTTTGATCCTCATGAGTTACTTGTTTCTTCAGCAAAGTTCTCATTTGAAGTGCTTTCAGCACCTGATTTATTAACAGTTGGGTGGAGTTAGGCTGTTTTGCAATTCCTGAGAAGCTGATAATAAATCTGATGTTCATATCACAGGAGGTGCTGATATTTCAGCTGAATTGCAAAAAAGTTCATAAACTGAAACAAATGTTTCTTTCTTGGTACTTCCACCCTGGAGTCCAGATAGTGACTTGTGTTGTCCATTCTGGTGGACATTTTGCCTTTTATAGATTTCCTTTCTGACTACTCTACAGTTCAATCTTTCAAACATCTTCCGTTCATATTATACTCATAAATTTTATTTTAATAAAAACAGGTGTCTAACAGACATAAACAAAAAATGCCAAAAAGAAAAAAATAATTCTTTTTCAAACCTTCTGCACATTTTGTTTAAAACAGATGTTTCCCTGACTTGTCATTGTGATGAAAGGAAACCCAATATCCCCTCCACTTTCCAGTGCAACACTGCAGAAACAAGGAATGACAGAGGAAGAGCAAGAACCATCTTAACTGGGAGGTGATTATTAGAGCTACAGGAGAACGAGTGAGGACACATGCTGGCGGTGGGACCTCGTGTATTTGAACATTCTTGTTACCTTTTTTCTCACAGTCTAAAATAACTTTAAAGATTGCATCTGTGTGATTCAATACCCCAGCTGAAACAAAGTCAAATAAACTCCACCCACCTGCTAGCCAACATTCTGTAAATCCAATATTGATATCACGTTCCTAATTATATTTCACTTCTCCTGTTACATTTTTGCTATGATCCTGTCTTCTCTGAAAGCTTCTTTCATCTTAAACTCTGTTTTTCTCTCTCTCAAGTCCCCATTTACCCACTCCAATCACCATTCATTATGCACAGCTGGGTAACAGTTACGATTTTCATGGATAATCTTACTCCAAAACCATTTACAGTAAAATATTAATTATGTTTTCTTTCAGCCTGATTCATCCTCGAATCTCTCAAGCAATGCTTAGTTTATGAAGCCATCACAAATAGAATGATACATTTGAACAAGAGCTGGGAGCCTTGTAAAGCTATTTTACTGCCTGGAACAAAGAAAAATATATTTCTCCTCCTCCAACAACGTGCCACATTGTCTTCAATATGAAGACAATATGGAAGCAAAAGAGACAATGCACACAATCAATAAATATTTTGTTCCTTTATCCAGCTATTATGTCACTGCTAAAAGGATCTTATATATAAACTGCTCAGGTATTTATTAGAAGAAGCCTTCCAATAGGTTGGCAGTCCCATATCACACATTTCAAAAGACTCTTTTTCTTTTGAGGCACTGGTAATTTTCTTCCCCAAAAACACTCTCATTATTTTGAGAGTAAGTACACTGCAGCTGCAGGAGCAAGAGGCACAGCTGATGAGTATCATCACTCCTGCTGAGGAAGCAGTGGCCCTATTTCCAACTTTTCCCACTCTTTCGTCCCACCTTTGCCACATGCTATACTCAAGGAATCAAGAAAAATAGCTATATTGCTTTTCTTTTTTGCATAAACAGTGTTTCATGGATGTGCTTCTAATGTGAAACACAAACTTTAATGTGGAGGCACAGGACCATTTTCTAAGCATGATGTTTAAGTGGAAAATAGAGAGCTTGGGAAAACCAGACCAAATTTGCTTCCTCAGACGTAGCCTGCTGATGTAGAATTCAGACATAAATGGGGAAGGAGACCTTTTCCTGCACTGAAGACATAAATCTTTTCTCAGCATTGCTGGAAAACGCTCTGTGGCTTACATAGGTAAGACAGCTGTGAGGAAATACAGGGGGATTTGCTATGGGAGAGCTTGTCCAGTTTCCTGCCGGCAAAAAGATAAGAGTTCTATTTGATGGGCATCTAACTGCACAGATGGCAATGAAACTGTTATGTTCTCCTTCTACGTTCATCAACTGTGTGCCAGAAACACAGGAAGAGATAGGATCACCCAGCATATGCTTCTTTACATTTTTTTCTACTCTTTTTCAGTTTTGCTTAGTTTTGCTTTGGTAGCCAACTGCATCTCAATGGATAGTTAAGATACTCAAGACATTTCCTAACACTGAGCTCCTCTCTTCTTAGCACTAAGCCATAGCTAAACCACTTCTTTCCAATTTGCAAAGCTGCATGTAGTGGGTTTGAGAAATCTTAAGTCTTATTCTCACTAATCATTAACAGGTTCCAGGCTAAGAAAGTCAGTCTCACTGATTTGGCAAAAATTTTACCTTAGACCAGCAATTTACTCCCCAGATGTCATCATCTTGTTACTCAGGAGCTGTGTGACTCTATTATAGCTGTTCTCAAAAGAGAGTAATTTGTGCCTCTGTATCAACACCCAGACGCCAAAATAAAGCCAAACTGTTCTCAATGAGCGAACTGAGATTGCATCTGCAGAAATGGGACCAACCAGCTTTCCCAGAACAAGTTAGTACAGCCCCTGACCTGTTGTGACTGGCACCCACCTTTTATAGCTGCAAGGGACCAAGATTGTAGGTAAAGATTATTCAGATAAGCATGTCCTAGCTGCAGTCCATAGTTACAGGGATGTGACACAGAAGTGACAATGGCACATGTCTCTTACCCTAAACTCTCCTATGCAGGGAGAAAGTCTCTGGAGACACCTAATTGGGCTTTAGTACAGGTATGCACGAACAGAATAAATCCAGAATGAAGATGTACACCTCCTCCTTAACCTACATGCTTGTGTAAATGTATGCAGGCCCTGGAATATAAGTGATCTAGTTCTTCCTGTGCATTGCTACCAAGCTGTGAAGAAGGCAGCTCTGAATGAAATTGCAGCTGAAATAACCAGCTCCAAACAGAACTGGTTTTTCTAGAAGGGAGTTTTAGTTACATGATTTTCATTATTTTGTTAACAGTTGCACAGAGAAGCAGGAATGCTTGGAAGTGTTTGAGAGCTGACATGACAGAATGCAACAGCGTTTCAGTGTCTCAGTGGTCAGCTGTGTAAATTAGTAGCTAGACAATTTTACAAATGTATATTATTTACCCATCAGATGCTGTTACGGTCTCTTGTGTAAATTCATAATTAGACTATGTATTGTGAAAGTCCTTTAACAACAAAGGTGCCACTGCGTGCTGAAATAATTAAATCAACCCATTTGAAAGAACACTAGTTCACCACTTCAATTTGGGTGATATAATATTGCACATTCCTGTAAAAAGAGCCAGAGAAATTGAGAATGATCAACTACAAAACATCAGATACAAGGGATAATGTTACCCATTCAGTAGCTTTTGGTTTGGCATGAGTCTAGTGTCACAGTTGAAAAAGTTGCAGCCAACATACCGACAGCACAGACAAAGAACAGATGATCCATCTCCTCTGCCATCTATCATGCACAGCATTGCCAACTTCAGGGCTTTACCAGCACTGACATTTAAAACAAAGTATGTGTCGACCAAATTAAATAATATACCAAGCTGTGGGTTATTAAGTGTGGGGTAATTTGACCACAGCAATTAAACTGAGATTAAAGAATGATAAAGGCAATGTTATATGCACTGTTCAGTGGGGTTTTTGGAACATATGGAGTCCTGAATATCTCCAAGTGTGAAAGCAACATCAGATATTAAGGCGCATGTCAGTCGCAATAAACATCCTCCTCCTGTGCTCTCCCTCCTGCCCTCCCCCCCATGCAACGGTGCTTTCAAATGACAATAGTTTTCGTTCTGCATATATTCAACCCAGGAAATATCTTCTGACTAGTGTCTCCAGACTGCAGCCCAAGGGATGTGTTAGCAAAGCAATAGTTTAACATGGTAGCACACTAAAAACACAACAGCCAATGAAAGTGGCATTGGAAAATCAGGGATGGAATTTCCTACGTGTGGCCATATTCCTGGAAGTATTTTATTATTTAGAAGAAAAGACAAACTTATAATTGAAGGTGAACTCACATTCCCAAATTACACAGTTGCCAAGCATGCCGTGAGAATGTCCTCAGTTAGGGAACAGACTGGCTCAGCAACTGCAGTAAGTGTGGGTCGACTATAATATACCTAGCTTTAATATGCACAAATAAAAATCCTAATAAAACAATTGAAGCTCATAACCCATTTATAAAAAAATGTCTCTTAGGATGATCCTGAGAGAAAGAGCCATCACAGTGCTCCTCATAAATACCTTAGCCTTCCCTCTTTAAAATTTCCAGGTGGCTGCCTTTGGAACATCTTGGAAAATTTCAAGTAAACAACATTACTCTAGTATTTGTGCACCTCAAACCAGAATAATTTGGGAATAGTAAACAGAGATTTTTGAATACCTGTCTGTATTTTAAAAGTCATCTTTCCCAGAAAAAGGAAAAAAAAAGCAAAAAAAGAAAAAGCAGAGTGGTAAAGAAAATCTAAAAATTTGCTGCAGCGGTAAAGAAAAATAGTGAAACATTCTAGCAAAACATATGCAGAGAAATACATACATACAGATAAGTGAAATTCCATTTAGAAATGTCAAAAGAACCCTTAAATCATTCCCAGGACTCAATGAAGCATAAATGATTAAAAAAAATAAATTAAAATCCCCTAGAAATGACTGTGATATAAACCAGTCCACAACTGCTAAAAAAAACAGCAACATACCCAAACCTGATAGGATATTGACATTACTAAAAATGTAAACAGCTTATCTTTTATTTGAAGGCCTTTATATATATTAAAAAGAAGGCAATCCTTGCATACTTTTCCCTGCTTCCTTATCTCTAAGCACATAAGTATTTCTGTTGCAATAAATGAGGCAGCTCATATTCTTAAAGATCAGCACATATTTCATTGAAAAGGAAAGGAAAAAGGGGAGAAAAAAGAATAGTTTATTGAAACATGGAAGATAGCTCCATTGCAGTGATCCCAAAGGAAGGAGCTGTCAATGCAAGCCAAGCCTTATGCACTAAAAACAACTTCAAAAAGTTAATTAAATTGTTAAAATTATAGATTTGTATGGGTTTATGTTCTCATCCAATGTATAACACAAAGTGTATGCCCTCTGCATTCCATCCCTCTTGTTATTTTCATTGTCCTTCAATGCCACATTAATATAATTCTTTTTCTAATTATACCTGTGTAACATTCTCACGATCTTTGACTACATTCCCAATGCTGCACACCACTCTATTGTCTCCACATAGAATTTCCAACAACGTATGGATATGCTTTAAGAGATGATCTTAATGTAAAAAAAAAACCTATTTATTCCTACCAAAGACAAAATTTATTCCAAGAAAAGAGTACAGAGACCAGAACACAGCAGCCACAGAGACATCTGCAGTCTGAGACAATCAGAAAACGCCTTCCTCTTCTGAAAGTTTCCTCTAGGTTAGGCCACAGCATGAACTTACTGCGATAAAATAAGTATGATTAATAAGGCATCAATCACAAGTTAGACCTTCTCAAGGGAAAAAACACACAGAAGAAATCGTCTCAGAACTTAAGTTGACTCATCATCATTCACAAGAATTTCTGGAGCCTCCAGGGATGTCCAAGCCCTGGTGCTGGTATGAGACCTCAGATTCTACTCAGGCCTTCTCAGGGCCACGACAGCTAAAGCAACAACAGCATATTATGCAGTACTGGCTTTATGTCTGTCTACTGTACGATGGTCTCAAAGTTGCCCGGAGGACAGCTCCTTCAAGACCTGGGCAGTAATTTTTATTCTGCTCTGTTATAAACTATTTATTTACCTTTGCTGTTTGCCACTAGAACTAGTATGAGCACATATCTTTTCTCATTACTACTGTTTCTATGCCCATAGATCATAAGAATGAAATAGAATACAGTAAAATAAACCAGACTTTTAAATACTGAACTCAGAAAAACATCTCTCTACAGTAATAACAAATGCCAAATTTCAGGGACCGTCTTTTTAATAACTGAGCTATAAACCTCTCAATAACAAGTCTTGTAATGGGAACTCTAAGTCTCCCTTTACTGCTGTGGAGTGAACTTGCTGCTATAATCAGCTACTTATATCAGTTAGTTGATTACACCTTAGAAAAATGACTGCTGGCAGCACAAGTCCTGTTTCATTAGAGACACTCTTAAATATTCCAATCTGATATAATAACTGAGAACTACAAGAAAAAAGAGAGAAAGAGAGAAAAAAAAAGAGTTAAATAAAAGATAGTAGAACTAAAGGATGAGGGAAAGAGAGAAATGTGCAATGGATGACAATCTCCTGACTTGTCATATCCAGCTCTCACTAGCAAAGCAAAAGTCTGCTAACATCAGCCCCTGCTCAGGCAGGGTTGGTTTTGGTCCTGGGATCTCTCTGCTACCTAGCCAGTGCAGCAGCTTCTGGGCTTTCCTGGGCAGCAGCCTTCGCAGGTACCCTTGGAG